TCCTCACCCCACAGTCCCGATTTTTCACATTTGCTGTCTGGTCACCCTAGCACGAGATTGAGTTGAGGTTTCAGTTAATATTCAGGATTTATTTAAATATAGTTATTTAGGAGTGGGATCTAGTTAAGGATCTTGACCACTGGAAAATAGAGTAAAAGCTGTTTTATCCAGCATGTTCAGGGAATGGGGGGGAACCGGTAAGTGAAAAATGCCGGTTAACTAAGAGGGAGGGAGTTTGGGTGCAGGAGGCGGCGTAGGATGTGGGAGGGGATGCGGGGTGCTGGATCTGGGGGGCGCTCACCTCAGACAGCTCCCCGCCAGCGGCGACCTGTCCCGGCTGCTCCTTGGCGGAGGCACAGCAAGTGGCTCTGCTCACTGCCTCTGCCCGCAGGCGCCGCCCCCGCAGCTTCCTTTGGCCATGGATCCCAGCCAATGGGAGCTGCGGAGCTAGTACTCGGGGTGGGATGGGGGCAGTACGCAGAACTGCCTGCCGTGCCTTCGCCTAGGAGCAGCTGGGACAGGTTCCTGCTTGTGGGGAGTTGCCCAAGGTGAGCTCCCCCCCGATCCAGCACCCTGCATCCCTTCCTATGCCCCAACTCACTGCCCTGAGCCCCCACCTGCACCCTCACTCCCTCCCAGAGCCCACGCTCCACACCCTCTGCTGCGCCCCAACCCCCTACTGGCCCCATACCAACCGGACTATAAACTGGAATTTCAATTAAGATCAGAAATGCCGGTTTATAGAGCTTTCCGGTTGGTGAAGTGCCGGATAAAACAGTACTTTTACTGTACTTAGCTTTTATTGAATAACTCTTAATTCTAAAAATGATTTTTCTGTCTGTAATGAATTATTTGTATCTGATTTTCCAAGAGCATATTCCTTTTTTTTCCCTTAAAACAAACAAAAAAACAAACTAAACCATCACCCAGAACATCTTGCCATAATACATCTCCAAGTTTGTTTGGACTAATAAACTGTATAAAATCAAATATCTGGGGTAGCCGTGTTAGTCTGTATCCACAAAAACGACAAGGAGTCCGGTGGCACCTTAAAGACTAACAGATTTATTTGGGCATAAGCTTTTGTGGGTAAAAGATGAAGAAGTGGGGTTTTTTATCCACGAAATCTTATGCCCAAATAAATCTGTTACTCTTTAAGATGCTACCGGACTCCTTGTTGTTTTTGTATAAAATTAGTTACCTTGTGTTACAGCAGAGAAGTGGCTTGGAGGAAGAAAGGTGGTGTTCGTCTCTCCGTGGTTTTCTTCACCCATACTGGTTGAATATTGAACAATACCATACCACTGTTGTTGCTTTTTTAAGCATTCACCTCAACACATGATAGACCTATTCATTTCTCTGAGAAGCTGCCATCAACTCAGACTTGAGCTATGTGGCTTGAAATACTTTGGATACTATGCCTTATATATAGTGCATCTCTTTTTTGTAAACTCAACGGTTCACTTGGGAGGTTTTAATATTTGGGTCAAAAATGGTATTACTCAACTATGCCATCTAATCGATAATTATAAAGTCCTAATACCAAAACAATTGTATATTTTTATCTTAATATATCTATTTATTTAGATTTCAGTCTTAAACTCCACCTCAAAGAATACCCATCCAAAGCTCTGTGTGCCTTGACATACATTGAAAGCGCAATATAGAAGATAAAAGTAAAATTTGACCAAAGAAGCAGCTTTTCCTCCCACTCACCGCTATATGAAATACAAGATTACTTACCCATAGATTGGTATCTTTTCCTCAGTGTTTTACACAAAATGGTGCACACAGTACCAAGATTGCCCACAATTCCTTCAACAGAAATCATTTTGAGTGGAGCTATTTTATATGACTTGACTAGATGCATGAGGTAACTTTTTTGTTCAGCGAAGCCACAAACTACAGATATTAAAACATTTTATTGTATTTAGGCCAGACATACCAAGATTAAATGTATTGATATCCACTTTATCAAGTGTTCACATGCTCCCAGTATTTTTGGGTATTTCCCAATATTTAATTAAACTCCCATTTTGGCCAATGAGCTGTTAGCATTATTTGCTTGACAGAACATTTCAAACATAATAATTTTATGTCCTTTGCATAACACATTGCTTAAGGACAAGATATTTGTGTGGTGTAGAAGATATGTCTTTGGTTTGATGGGACTGCCTAAAAGTTAACAGATTTTGTAACTTTATAATGACATTTTCAAACCACATTTTTAACTGTATTATTTCCCTTTAAACCATTGCTTAAATTCTCTTGTGAAAGGATCCCTACAGCGATTGTAATATAATATTTTTGTATTTAATTTGTTTTGTACTTTGCAATTTCCAGAGAAGATTACTCTGCAAACCTGGCAAATCTACATGTTCTAAAAGGAGGCAGAGCTTACAGGCTCAGGGTAAAGGAGTGCCTAATTTGAATCCCAAAGTAATCAAACCATCAGCTGTCTTTGTTTTACTAACAGCAGCCCAGTTGTGAGGCATAATTAGGTTAATGGTTCCTGGCTCCAGCTGTGTGTCTCGCTCAACAGAACAAAGGCAGCTCCACTGAGATTTTTTAATACAGTACACTTTTTTTTTTTAAACTTGGAGATGATTAACAAAGGTTACTTCAGTGTGCTACGGTTGTAAAGCTTCAGCGCTGGTCTACACTGGGGGGGGGGGGCGGGGGGAATTGATCCAAGATACGCAACTTCAGCTACGTGTAGCTGAAGTCGAAGTATCTTGGATCGAATTACCTGGAGTCCAGACGGCGTGGGATCGATGGCTGCGGCTCCCCCGTCGACTGCGCTACCGCCGCTTGCTCTGGTGGAGTTCCAGAGTCGACAGTGAGCGCGTTCGGGGATCGATATATATATATCCCGGATAAATCGATAGTGAAGACGAACCCTCTGATGCATAATGTGGAATTACTGCTTTTCTAAGATGACACACACAGTTTCACCCATCTAGACTGCATCCCCACATAACAGGAACATGTACACAGACGTATTTGCATATGGAATATGTACACTGATTTGGGTATTTGCATATGGAGATTGTCAATCAGACATCCAACTACCCACTTATGCATGCAGACTTGTGGTATTTCTGTAGGCCCACTAAGTACGTGCAGTTGTGCTCTGGGAATTGGGTTCTGAATTATCCCCCTTTTTTGTGGAACTGCAGGCAGGATCTTGTCTCCTGGGCCAGAAGTTCTCCTCTCTGCACTCTTGTACACTGCACTGTGCTTCATGGTTGCCACCATCTTCCAGATGAATTAATGTCATTTGCAAAGTGCTTTAGGTTCTTTGAGGATGAAAGGAGATAGAGAAATGTAGGATGATGGAATTATTGTTCCATGTTGTTCCAAATCAGGAACTGGGGGTGGACCACCTGCTTCTACTGGAACCTGAAGGTGAATGATGGGGGTGAAGCCCCGACTGACAGGGGCAAGCTGGACCAGAGAAGAGAGAATAAAATATGATGTGAACCTGGCCTGGCCTGGCCTGGCCTGGCCTGGCCAGTGGAATGCATGAGGTGTTCAGAGCCTTGGGGAAGCAGCAACAGGAAGGAACAAACAGGGTAGACATGTGGGGAACCTGGGTGCATGCTTAGTTTTAATCACTGTGGTTTGGGTGCCCCTGAAGTCCCAGCCTCGTGTTGCCAACTCTCCCAGTTTTATCACCATATTTCATGATTTTTTTAAATCTCCAGTTCTTGGAGTCATGTGATTACATGCAAACCTCAGTTTCCATTTTTGAAAACAAAAGTACATTTCTGGCCATCATGGTGGAGAAAAGCTTGAAAAGTTGGACCCTAAAGGCTCCACTTGTAGAGGTGCGCACATGAGATTTAAAAAAAATCCTGATTTGGGGGGACCTGACTTGTGATATTTGGACACTTGGGGTTGGCAATACTGCCAGCCCCCTGTCTATGGTTGGTGATTTGTGTGGGTTTTGGATCACTTCCCTCCACACTCCACCTTTATTAACACTGAGTCCCAAACCCTGTGCTCCCTGGGCGCCTCGTTTCTCTGCTCACTCTGCCTCTGGTTTAGTTACGTTGATGGGTTTATTCTATTTTTCCTTAACCCCAATAATCACCCCCTCCTTGGGGCTCAGGCAGCTATAGCTGGAGAGGAAGAGAGCCAGGGCAGTCGTTCGTTCAGTGATTGTTCTCAGTGTATGGGTCTGGGAAGAGTGCTCATTTCCCAATTTTCCAAGAGCAGCAAAATCTCAAGCTAGCACCGAGATACGAATATGAGAGCTGGCATCTCTGAATACTTGGGTCCAACTGTGATGGAAACATTGATCTATCCCATTTTCTAAAATTGATGCTTTGCTTCAACCACAAGTTATTGATCCTAAGGCAGGAATCATTGGAGAACATTTTATGGTCTGTGCTATACTAGAGGTTGGACTGCCAAAGCAAGATTGTTCCCAACAGTGCTTTTTCTAATGCTTTCTCCAGTCTAGTTTTGAAATCTTTTTTAGATATGTGACATCCACTGTGAAGTGTTAGGTAGTTGTGAATTTATTTCAATAGAAACTGACTCATTATAAGCCTGTTTCAGTCAAATATTACCCAGAAGTTTTCTTGTATATGTAACAGTGGAAGAAATAAATCAGGCATTACACAGATTTCTGTTGTTTAGGAAACTTTCTAATTGTACACATTAGTAACATAATATATATGAACAGAATGTCAACATATGTTGATACTGGCACTAGAAATTGTAAATCTCTTAATTGAATTGCATTGCTAAATAAACTGTATTAAATTAATCAGCCACCAACACTGACTGTTGAAGAATGTTGATAATTTTTATTAACTTGTCATAAATCAGCACATTTCTTGATGGTGGCATAAGTAATTACGAGTGCTTTGAAAAGAACAGTTTAAGGATATTCTGATCAAGGGAGGGAGAGAAAATGATTGTTTCATTCGTAAACTGGTAAAATTATCTCTTTCTTGCACTTGTTTATATGTTATCGCTTTCTATTTCAGGTGATCGGCTTTTTCAGCTCACGGTTAGAGCAAGCCGGAGCCCAGCTGTCAGTGGAGAGAGTTCTGGAAATTATCAAACAAGGAGCTGTTGCATTGCCCAAAGACAGACTAAGAGTAAGTGCTGGCAAAGACTTAGTCAATTCAAATGTAGTGTTCCAATTAATTATGTCAAAATGTCATTTTTCTTTTGAGATCAGGTCATATGGTACTGCATTATGGATTGTAGTATGTTTGTGTTTTAATTTAAAATACCTCATTAGTTTGGACTGTAAGCTTATGTTTAGGGGTGTGTGTGTGTGTGTGTGTGTGTGTGTGTGTGTGTGTGTGTGTGTGTGTGTAGTAAGTTAAGTTGTTTGTT